ATTTCTTAAATTTGAATTTCATCACCTGTGGGATTCGAACTCTTGACCTGCCACTTGGTAGTAGCTACAGCTTACAAGTACTTGTTCTTAGACTAGGCGTAAGTTACCAAAGCCTAGATTAGCCTAAATATAGGTATAGAAGGCTCTAGCAGTTTATTTCGAGGTCAAAGAACTCTTTAAATGGTTGAGCCCATTTAAAGCCCTAAGCTAATATGTAATATTAAGTATTATCGCTTAAATATAAAAGTGTAATATATAGCTGCAGAGGGTTTAAATAGGTACCTCCTTAGTTGGGTGCAGATATAGCATCTAGTGTAGAACCTAGTAATAGGCAGATACTTAAATAGGTGCTCAAAAGCTGCAGATATGGCTAGTTGTATTTTACAAATATATACAGCTGTTAGAATGTATCTGACAGTTAAAAATACTACTGATATTCAAATAAAGAATAATGTGACAAAGAGGTCATCTTAATATCAAAAAAAAAAATAAAGGTTTGTTCAGATATAACCTATCTTAGTAGCAATTAGCTTCTCTTTGAATTCTTAATTTACTAAGAATTTTTTTTTTTCTATTTATTAATTAGTAGCTATTTATTTATCAAAAAGCAAAATTAAGCAAAAATAAATGCAGGGTGTGGTGACTTAGTGTAGTTGGTAAGTTGTCGCACTCCCAAGTGGCAGGTCAAGAGTTCGAATCCCACAGGTGATGAAATTCAAATTTAAGAAATGTGTTACAATAAACTGTATATAATCTGATGGGTCAGCATCTATAACCTTAGATATATTAGCTTGTACTGAAAGGATTGCGGAACAGTAGTATTATGTATGAGTCATACGAAATAAGTGATACACCATGTAAATCCAGGAGATCAGACACACAGAAGCCCACTTGGCAAGTTCCAAGTAGAGAGGTAGCACAGACTTTTGACGGTATTATATAAAGGATCGTCATCAGCAATCAGATACTAATAGCAAACCAGATGAGAACCAGGTGTTTGGCAAACACTAATACCAACCAGGCCGTGTGTAATATGAGGAAAAAAGATTCAATCAGAATACCAGAGGATGCCCACTGGTCTCTCCTGAGTCATCTGAATTAGGAGTTTGGGGCGCAGTTGGTGATCAAGAACAGCGGTGATTGTCTATAAAGTATGTGCTGGGGTCTAAGTGAACTCTACAAGGGCAGAAGTAGGTAATGGTAGTGGCTTCGGCTCGCAAGTACTTGTTCTCAGACTCAGCGTAAGTTACCGAAGTCTAGGTTAGCCGGATTGTGAGTATGGAAAGCTCTAGCAGGTTTATTTTGAAGACAAAGGACTCCTATAGATGGGTCTGTCTTAAAGTTCTAAGTCAGAGATCCGAAAATAAGGGAGTACTAATATATTCTTGCTTGGTTAGAAGATTAATATATATAGGTGCAAAGTGTTTAAATAGGTAACTCGGTAGGGTTATAGGTATGGCAGCTAGGTAGAACTTAGTAATAGGGTCTACTTAAATAGGCAACCAAAAGTTGCAAATGTAGCTAGTTATACTCTCCAAATATGTATACAGTATAGTATATACTATACTGTAAAAGTTAACAATAATCGAATAAAAGGACAGCGATCAAGAGGTCACCTTAAAACCAAAAAAAAAATAAATAAATAAATGCAAAACTAAAAAACAAATAAAGAGATATATAATAAAACAAAGCATAAACAAAAAGAGAAAAAGAAAAGAAGATAATAAAAACAAAATTAAATAATAATTTTGCTAAACTTAATACAGTCAGACCTCTCTAAGTATATATTCTCAAGACCAGCTTCAAGGTATGCATTTAGAGAGGGTTGCAATTATTAGAATAACCAGTAAAAATACAGCACATGTATTGTTATATGAGACGATTATTAACTAATCAGATTTGATTGTATGTATGTACTCTATTAAGAATTTTCATTTTACAAGGATCGCTTTACAAGAACCGCTTTACAAGGATCGCTTTTCATTTTACCATTTCATAAACTTTCACTTTTTGTTTCACCATATTATGAACTTCCGCTTTTTGGTTTACTTTATTACACATTTAGTTTCATATACTAATGTTTTATTAAATTTTATAAAGAAACCTTCCTTCATAATGAAGCCAAGAACCAATATACAAAGCTGAGATCTAACGTAACAAGCCAAGATCTAACGTAACAAGCCACAATCTAATGTAACAAGCCAAGATCTAACGTAACAAGCCAAGATCTAATGTAACAAACCAAGATCTAACGTAACAAACTAAGATCTAACGTAATAAACCAAAATCTAGTTCTAGTTTGAATTTAAAAAAACATTTTAGATTCATATTTAATTATTAGATTCTTGGGGGGTTGAAGAACTAACGCAGCTTAAATGAACCTAAATTAAGTTCAAGAACACATAAGAATTTTATATAAAATATTATGAAAGATAAGAAAAGTTTTTTTTTTTTTTTTTTTTTTTCTTTTTTTTCCTCTTTATTTTTTTCTTTTTTTTTTGCTTAGCGTATACTAATCAGAATACTTTTTTATTTAGCGGTAATAAAATAACATTAAACAAGGGTTTAATTTCAATAGATCATTGTTATATACGGATATTTGTGTATATACATTACAAGCTGGCTCAAGAAAAGCCTCTATATTTAGTTGTTTGAATGAAGCATTCTGGAATTTTCTCACTGACTCATACAATTTTGACAAAGCTATGTCATGTTCTGTTTGGGTCACATCATTAAGGTCCTGTTGTAAGAGATATAGCTCTATCTGATTAATAGCATCTAGTGCTTCTTTATGTGTGATGTGGGGTATTTCTATATTGTCGTCGTCTTCATCATCTTCAGCCTGTTCAGGTTCCTGGTATGTGACTTGGTTCAAAATTTCCTGGTCGCTCATTATTCCTGTTACAACTTTCTCTTCTGAATAATTAATGTATTCCTCAAAATCTATTATGTTTTGGAAATTAAGCTTTTTAATATTATTATACATTTCTTTCATTAAATTATCATCATTATTAGTAGCGGGCCCTTCATTATTATCTTCATCATCATTATCATCATCATCATCATCATAATCATCATCAACTGGAAGAATTCCTGTATGTTTAAAGCAATTTCAGATAGTTTTTGATGATACTTCTCTCCATGCTCGAGTGATAAATTTTATGGCAGTAAGAACGTTCATTTTATCATCATTATTATTTTCAGATTTATAGCCATTTTATGAAGTGACTTCGATAGTGACGCTTGAAGGACATGATGATACTGGCATCCAAAGGTTGTATGCGAGATGTTGTATAGGGTGGAAGAAATTTAATGGTTGTATTACGAAGTTTCACATTACCGATAGAGTGAACCTTTGTATTATCCATTAGAAGAATTATCTTGCGACCAGCCATTTTTAGGTCAAATTTTTTAATCCATTTTTAAAACAGCACAGTTGTCATCCATGCTTTCTGACTTGCTTCATACATGACACCAAAACTGCGACATTTAATAGATTTAAAACAACATGGATTAGGCAACTTACCAATAACAAATGGCATCATTTTATCTGTTCCATCAGCATTAGTACAGAGCACCAAAGTTAACCATTTTTTATGCTTTTTTTTTCCTTTAAGACGAACCGTTGCTAGTGTGGTGTTTGGTTTTAAGCTAGAAAAATATATATATATATATATATGATCATGAAAAATTAGTCAATTGGTTTTCATAGCCTAGCCAGGATGACTTTTTTTTTTTAAAAAAAAAAAAATTATTTTTAAATAACTGGTAGGTTTTTAAAAAATTTTTAAAAAATTTTTATAAAAATTTTACATGAAATTGCCATTTGTATTCTTTATGACAATATACTAGCGATCAGGATCCATTCCAAGTTGTTTCGTTACCTAGTATTAATGCTCAAGCTATATTATATCCTAATTACCAACCTATAATGCAACTTGACTTGGATCAAATGATTAAAAAAAAAAAACTGGTTGATCAGTCTATTTAGAAGTCCTGTGTTATGTTTTTTTTTTTTTTTTTTTTTTTTTTTTAATTAATTAATAACCAAATAGATCTTTAAAAAATTTTATAAAAATTTTACATGAAATTTTAAAAAAAAGCCAGTTGGCCGGGTCTACTTGGAAGTCTCATGTTATGAAAACCGAGACATTAAATTGGTTTATTAATTTATACCGGTAAAACAATCCGGTCTCGTCCATATTATAAATATCCTTCAAGTCATATTCTTTTAAGATTTTTCTTAGCTCAGGAATCACAGCTTCAACAGCTTCTTCATCTACAGAGGCATCTTCTCCATGTTTTGTTATTTTTTTTAACCCGTGTCTTTTTTTAAACTTTTGTAGCCAACCAGGTGAAAATTTAAAATCACCTTCAGGTATGTTTAATGATCTAGCAAACTTTTTAGCCTTTTCTACTATAACCTTATCAGATAGTATTACTTTTTCTTGGCATTGTAGGATCTATTCATATAATATATTTTCAAGTGCTGGATATTGAACCGTTTTCTGTTTTTTCGCCGAAGAATTTTCTCTAATTTTATTCTTATTTTTTATTAAATGGCTAATGGTACTTTGATGAACTTTAAGATCCATTGTTTGCTTTACCCAATTAACAAGATCGGTTTGACTAACTTGAGGGTTTTTTTCTTTATATTTGATTATAGCATTTCTTTGTTCATTGGTGAGGGTAGTTTTAGTTTCTTTATATTTTTTGGAGAACATTCTGAATATTATAACACAGCATAGGTCCAAAGGATAAGTTTAATTTAACTGATAGAGTCGAGGAGCTGTAATATTTGAACGTCTTGTAAAGACCAATAATAAAGTTGGGAAATCGAGTAGGTACTTTTCAGTTTGATTTTATAGTTTGACTAACTACTTAACTAACCTCTTTAAAATAGATCAATGGATTATTCACAATACTATAATGCTATTGCATTATTATGTGATGTACAAAAATATTTATAACAAAAGACATTTTTTGTAATTTTCATATTAAATAACATCGCGGCTGAAGCTAGAAATAGCTGAATATAGAAATCAAGGACCTTATTAACCTTACTAAAATCTATTTATACTCTTATTATTAATGCTAACTATAAATCTAACTCAACCATAAAAAAAAAATCTCCAAAAAATGTGCAAACCATTTGCATTAAATAAGCACAGTTCTAGCTTTAGCTGTGATAACTAATTATTTAGGTAGGTTTTGTACTGAGATCATATAAATTTAATTTAAATGATAATATGATCTTTTTTTTGAAATATTAATTTTAAGGTATATGTATATCACTTTTTATTATATACAGTATGTTCAAACCTTTTTTAAAATGCTATCGATTCTCAAAATACTAATTTTGAAACATCTTTGAATCTAGGTGATAAAGAATCTTAGTTACGTTATTAAGATATGCATCAACTAGATATCATTGACTGTCAAAAATCAGCCAATAAAAATGATCAAGATAATATATTCTGGTTTGGTTATTGTTATGAGCATGGAATTGGAGTGGAAAAGAATAATAATAAGGCTAATAAGGCATTCATTCATTATCAAAAATCTGCAGAGAGGAATAATCTTAATGATCTTAATGGAATCGATTGGATATTGTTATCATTCAGGTATTGGGATTGAAATAGGTAACAATAAAGCATTTGTATATTATTTGAAGTCAGCCAAGACAGGTACCTTACAGTGCAGACCACGGTACCCCGGGTATAATACATTCTATAAACAAAATTTAGATAGTATCTGGAATACTATACTAAGCGATTTTTCATATGAAAAGTTTCTTTTTATAGGATATATCCCCTGGGTATGTTATATTCTATTATGAAAATTTTTAATAGGGTATTTTATACAGGGCATCGTAGTCCGTGCTGTATGGTAATTCTATGGGAATTTTTAAAACTATCATTTGCTACTATTACAGAATTGATTGTAACAAAGTTATAACAAATACGAAGAGTGGATTAAAAAGGAATTTCTTTGTTAAAATTCATTAATATATTTGAATTTTTCATGTTTTAAATTAGAAATCCTTAAAGCTAATTTTTTAGGGATAGTTTATGTATAAATACATATATGTGTATATATATACATATATTTACATATGTACCTATTGAGTTCAAATTACATTATTATCGACATGTGGCCAAGCATTTTATACCTTACGTATATACGTATTCATATTATATTATGATCTTGTTAAAGAAATCAACGAGCTTTGTGTTACATTTTTTGAAAATAATTGATCGGTTGATTTTTTTTTGGCATAGGTTTTGCATCAAACTTTTACGTATTGCTGGAAATCAAAATCAGAATTAATTCTTAGCTCTAAATTTTTATTAGATTTTAGATAAGAATTTATTCTAAACTCTAATAATAAAAATTTACACATCACAGCGTAACATTATCTCAATATTTGTACTATACGTTTTTAATTGCCTTTATGCTAATTAAAGTACAGTTACTGTAGCATCCGGCCTTAATAGAAAGTTATGAATAAATAGATTGCAAGTACGATAATAAAAAAATTTAAGAGTATAATAAGTAACTTCGTCTGAAAATTCTTTCTTTTATTAATGATTCAAAAGTTTTCTTATATGTAGCATTTGTTATAGAACTATATGGATAAATATTTACACCTTGAATAAACACATTTATGTTCATACTACTAACAGAGGATAGGTATACAGTAAAACTTCAAGTGCATCTCTCTAAATTCACAAACTCTCTAAATGAATATATTTCACCTCGAGTATATATATACTAAATGTATATAATTATTATCATCGTTATAGTACATAATTTATTTGTATGAAATTTGATTGGCTCTTATGCAATGATCATGCATTTATGGAGGAATTAATAAATATGTGAGCCAAAAAAATTGTATGCATTTGCAAAATAAAGAATATGCATTTATTTATTAGGCCCATCAATGGGCGAGATAATTATTATGCATTTAAAGAGTATATACATTTAGGAAGGTTGCATTTAGAGAGGTCTGACTATATTACAATTATAAGCTTATACCAAGCTTATAAAAATTATATACTACTAAATATAATTAGTATATTAAAAGTAAAAAAACTTTATTGACTTTATATTATAAAAAGGTTGAAATAAGTGCTCAAAGCATTATTTTTATAAAGATTTATATATTCAAGACATATGTATTTATAATTTATTGTTGTTAATTTGATTTGAGAAATAAACATTGCTAATTCAATTAGTATATAAAGTAGATGAGGGTATTATAGCAGAGTTAAGAATAGCTAATAGTAAACGGTCACAATAAAAAGTTATTTGTACATCAAATTTGTTCTACAAATAGTAGACATAATTTGCTTTAAACTACCAAAAAATAAAACCAATTTTATTTAAAACTATTATTATATTTTTATTTTCTCGAAAGCGATTAAAAATTGTGGTTTTTAATGACTATGAGTATTATGGCAGAATGATATATACTCTTAACCCTGATTTAGATCCGGGTATAAAAGTGGAGATCTTTTATGTATCAAGGAGGCTTTTGTATAGTCATTTACAGTAATTTTTACTAATTTTCCCTCAAAATTTTTTTTGGTAATGATTTTCTTCTAATCTAATTACCTCAACCAACAATGATATTTTTTTAATATTAATATCTCATAAACTATTAGTCAGAATCAAATAATTTTAATACCGTATGAATTATTTAATTGGGTTGAATCAATTAGTATCAAAATTATTCGATTCTGATCATTAGATTATGAGAAATAGTTGATTTTCTAATATCTGCCACAATACTCATACCCATTATAATACCCTCATCTACTTTATAATATTAATAATTTAAAGAAATATCCACTTTTTACAAAATTTCTTCAAAAAAAAGTAATAGAC